TCGTTCTTCAGTTCCTTGAGCTTAAGAAATGCTGAGCAAGTTCGGCCCTTTTGATTTTCTGACCCCAACTCCTTGCACATTTCATTGTAATATTTTACTTTGTCATCCCATGCTGCCTTTTGAAATGTTCTATTCAACTCTTTAGTATCTTGAATTCTTCCTTCTGTTTTGGCTTTTCTGCACTCCAGTGCAATTTTCAGAGTCTCTTCTGACATCCATTTTGGTCTTTTCTTCCTCTTCCGTCTTAGATACCCTAAAATACCACTCATAAGAACGTTATGAACAGATTGGAACCTTGTCCTATCTTGAGGCATACACACCATCTGACATACTTGAGCCCATGGTGGTAGTGATTATCTACCTGGTTGAGGGTCTTTCATGGACTCTCTTTTCCAAGTATGATGTCCCTTTCCAAGAAATGTTATGTGGCATCAAGTCACTTGCAACTCATAGTAACCGTATATACAGCAGCCTTAAACCTTGCGTTATCCTTGGTCAACCTTATTGTCTCTGACACACCTACCCTCATTAATCCAGTCAATCAATCCATATCTCATCAAAGGTCTTTCTTGTGCTGTTCCTCCACCCTCCCAAGCATGATGGCCCTCGCCAAGGACTGGTCCCCCCTTGCAACATGCCCAGTTTATCAGAAAAAGAAGCCTCAGAAGCCTCGCATTCAAGGAGCAGCCTGGTTTCAGCCTCTCGGACAAACCTGTTTGTTCTCCTGGCAGTTCATGTTATATATTCACTACTCTTCTTCAGCACCACAGCTCAAAGGATCAATTCTCTATCACCCATAGTCACTCCAAGTCATTTGTGCCTCCTAATAACATGTCCAAGTTATGTGAAATGAAGGTTTGCCATCCTCGTCTCTAAGGAGCTCTCTGGCCACACTTTGTCCAAGACGTTTTGCAGTCTATAGGATACTCAGTTCCCTTCTCCATCATCACAGCTCTAGGGTATTGATTCTTCTCCGAAATGCTATCCTTACTCACTGTCCAGCTCCAAGATGCTTAGCAAGTGATTGAAAAGACCATGGCCTGAGTCTCGTGCACCTTAGTCTTTAAACTGGCATCACTGCTCTGCAGTAATTTGGAGAGATCCCTGAGAGCAGACTTCTCCAATGCATTACATTTCTTGATCTCCTGACCACTGATACTAAGTTGATAGTAGAATCTAAGATGAATAGCTCCTTTAGACCTCCACACTATCACCGAGTTTATTTTTTCACTATTACTCTTCTAACATGTGGTATTATTAGGTGCCCCAATCCCAACGTGAATGCACAGCAGAATGAATACAAAAATTCCCGATCCATCGTCATAGATCTGGAACATAGAACTGTAAGCACATGGCATAAAGAAAATAAGAACTCTTGAGTCAGACATCAGCTTTCAAATCCACATACTAACAGGTTGATCACAGCTAGGCTTGTCTTCAATTCCTCGTATGTAAAACAGAAATGCTAGTATTATTTCCAAGAGCTTTTGTGGCACTAGTGCATCTTTTTAATAGACAGGAACAGAAACTTTTAAGATTTGATTTCACGTTGGTGGTGAACACTGGTTGAGCACTTAGCTGCTAACTAAAAAGTTGCTTGTTTGAATTCACCACCCCCTAGGAGAATGTGGTAGTTTCTGTTAAGAAATACAGTCTTGGAAACTCTATGTGGCAAGTCTTGACTCCACCAGCTGCTTTATGGGATAAAGATGGACAATCTCCTGTGTGACTCACAGTCTCTGAAAACCTGCCGAAGGGGCAGCCATGAGTTGGTCCCAACTGCACAGGTTTTGAGTTTAAAGGTTTGCTATGGATTGGAAACAACCCAATGGCAACGGATTTAGGCTAATTTTTTATGAAGATTATCAGCTTGTGTCACGGCTGGTAGATTCACACAGGGACCTTTCAGTTATCACTATGACATCAGCACTTTGTTATCCTTTTTTTTAAAGGCTATCAATTAGAGTTTATGGAATATTATTAAGTTTTTCAATCCAATATTGAAAAGTATGATGCATTTTATAACTATACATAGAGAAGTTATAAAAATTGGCCAATGAACAGCTATATGGGGGTGTACATTCACATGAGTAGAACAGCCATAAATAGAAAATGGTGAAATCAAGAGTATTTGAAACAAAGTTTATTTTTTCCCCCATGTAACATGAAACTGAATGCAAGATTTTCTATTTTTCCATGTAACACAAGTCCAAAAATAACAAGTCCAGTGCTAGTGCAGACACTCAAAGCAGCACTGGGGCAGCCAGGATCACTGGCCTTTTCTGCATTTCTCCTCACCTAGTGACATTCATCCTGTGGTCTTAATTAAGAACCTTGAACACCGGTACTGGATCTCTTTTCAGGGTTGAGGGTGGAGAAGAAGAAAAAAAGAAGGGTGGGAAAGTATAGAGAACAAATCAGACGAAACTGACCCGTTTTAAAAAAACTCACTCAAAAGCCCAGTGACTTCTGCTTGTCAATGGCAGTCTGGGGCACAGAGATGCTCTAAGTACGAGATCTTCAAGGTGGGAAATTTGAAAAATAGCAGTTTCTTAATCTCTCAAAACCGAGACTTCCTTGATACGAAAGATGACAGTGGCTTCTGGGGAGCAATGAGAAAGTTGTGACACAGGAAGTCATAAGCACATTAAAAGGTCTATGATGTAATAAATACCATGCTCTGATCACAATGCTTTTGAAATAGATGTCAGTAAAAAATAGGTACTAAACATATCATCCATGATACAGTGTACTTCTGAAAATCTAACCAGTTAAGAAGTTATCCAAAAAAGAATTTCAACATAGCAAAAATGAAGTTACCACAGAAACCACTACATACTAACTTTCTGTGATTAGGCTTAAGGGTTATTTAGAGAAACAAAATTTTAAAAAAGATTGAAAAATAACAAGCTAGGTCTGTTTTTATTATAAAAGACTAATAACAGAGATCTTATTTACTGGTAAATTTCTTCTCTCCCATTATTAATTCTCATCGGCACAAGAACTGAGGTGCTGTGGCTGCAGTAATTTTGCACACTGACTACATGCATAGTGCCTGCAGGGAATTGTCATTATTTCCTTACCAAGGAATTACAATGCTTTGTAAGGGTCCCCTCATATGAACACTCAGATATTTTACTAAAAGCGAGGACTTACCTCGACAAATCTACCTCAACAATATTCAATTTGGGGTGGATAATTTTTTTGCTGCATGTAGGGGTGGGGAAGTCTTTGTTTGTTTGTTTTTTTACTGGTTGCTGTCAAGTGATTCTAACTTAAGGTGACCCCACATGTGCAAAGTAGAAGAGCTCCACAGGGTTTTCAAGATTGAGCTTTTGGAAGCATATTCTAACTCTGCCTTCTAAATGAGACGCTGGGAATTGAACTGGTTACCTTTCAGTCAGTAGCAGATTACTTAGCCACTAGCACTACCAAGGAACTTCCCTGACATTGTGGAATATTTAATAGCATCCCTGAGGTCTTTGCACAAATATGTAAGTAACACTTCCTCCCTTAGTTATCAAAAGTCCACCCCAAACTCTGCCAGTGAGTTCATTCTCACTGACGATTCATTACTAGATTTCTGAGGCCATAAATCTTTATGAGAAGGAACTAATGGTTCTTCCATGAAGAATCTAGTAATTTCAAGATGCTGACCTTTCAGCTAGAAGCTTGACATTTTACACAATATGCTTCCTGGAACCAGGACTCCTTTTCCCATTATAACCACTAAAGCCCCACCAGACATTAACTCATTGTTTCCTGAACTTTAAAAAAAAAAGGCCCTGTTAAGAAGCATCACTGGAGACAAAGAATTGGCAAAGATTTTCTGTAAAGACCAGACAGCAAGTATTCTAGGTTTTATAGGCCACCCAGAGGGTCGCTATGAGTCGCAAATGACTCGATGGCACATAACAACAACAACAACAACAGGCCACCCATGGTCTCTGCAACATATTCTTCTTTAAAAATGCTTGGGAAAACCTAAAAAGTAGTAATCAAAATAGCCACATATTATTGCTGTACTGCGGTGGCCATATAAAAACAGGTCACAGTTCACAGACTGCTGTTGCTGACTTCGCCACATAAGTCTGTTTTCAGAATGATTTCTCCCACGGGGAATAGAGTGTGAAATCAGAAATGGTTTCCCAGTCAATGTGGTTAGGCCAACCTTCCTAGTTTGCTTACTCTTTCACCCAAATGGTATGTGGTAGTGCTAAAAACATTTCCACACTTAATACCAACCACGTGGAAATGTCTCTAAGACTTCGTATTTTATTAAAAACTGATTATACTCTGAACAAGTCTTTACACTGCAGACACACACTTTTGCCACAGCACTGTATCTCTCCTAAGAGTTGAAAAAAATGAACAATTCTGCAAAGCTATGACACCAACTGAAAGTCCCATAATTATTTTTGGTCCAGTAAAGCAAGAGCCCATAAAGGCTTTCTCATGTGTCTTGAGTTTCTTTCTACCTTGAACTCTTGTGTTTTGTCTTCAATGTCTACTGGAGCCTCTTCCACGTTGATGACACAAAAAGCTTTTCTCCCCGGTGTGTTTTGACGTGACTTCTCAGGGATGAATGGTCGCTGAAGGCTTTCCCGCAGGTGAGGCATTCGTAGGGCTTCTCCCCAGTGTGGATCCGCCGGTGCACATTGAGGTTAGAGCCTATGCTGAAGGCTTTCCCACAATGATCACACTCATATGGTTTCTCTCCTGTGTGAGTTCTCATGTGTGTGTTGAGGGTAGACTGATTTCTGAAGGCTTTTCCACACTGTCTGCATTCCACGCGCTTCTTTACAAGATGAATGCTCATATGCCTCCTTCGTGATAGATAATCACCAAAGACCTTCCCGCAGGCAGCACACTCATAGCGCCTCTCTTGAGTATGTATTTTCCTGTGTGCTGTGAGGTTCGAGCTTGCACTGAAAGCTTTTCCACACAGATCACACCCATATGGCTTCTCCCCAGTGTGTGAATTCATGTGTGTCTTAAGGATCGACTGGTTTCTGAAGGCTTTTCCACACTGTCGACAGATGACAGGTTTCTTGACAATATGAATTCGCATATGTTTCCTCCGTGAGATACCGTCACCAAAGGATTTCCCGCACTCCGTACATTCGTACGTTTTGACTATCATGTGATTTTTCCTGTGCAAGTTGAAGTTTGATTTCCAGCGGAAGGCTTTGCCACACTGAGTGCACTCGTAGGGCTTCTCCCCGGTGTGATTCCGGATGTGTTCTTTAAGGTGTGAAGGGTGCTGGAAGGCTTTGCCACAGTCATGACATTCGTAGGGCCTCTCTCCAGTGTGTGTCCTCTTGTGTGCTGTGAGGTGGCAGCTCCTACCATAGGCCTTCCCACACTGGTTACACTCGTAAGGCCTCTCCCCCGTGTGAATCCGCATGTGTATCTTCAGGGAGGAGAGGGTGCGGAATGCACTTCCGCACTGATCACAGTCAAAAGGCTTCTCTTTGGTGTGAGTTCGCACGTGACTACGAAGGGCTGACGGGTCATTGAAGGCTTTCCTGCAGGCGCTGCATTCATAGGGCTTCTCTCCTGTGTGGATCCTCCTGTGGCGAGTGAGTGAGGACCTGGTGGTGAAGGCCTTCTGGCACTGATGGCATTCGTACATGTTTCTCCCACTGTAAATGTCCACGTGTTGGGTGAGACGTGGACCATCTTTGAAGGCTGCCCCATAGTTACGGCGGTGGTAGGGCCTCTTCCCACCGCGACGTCCCATCTGCTGATGAAGATGAGCCCCCACGCTGAAGACATCAAAAAAGTGAGCAAATTCAGTGGGCTTCTCACCAAGTCCATTTCTTTCCTGTTGATTAAAGAATTGAGAGCTGAGTATTTTCCATGTTCACTACATTTACTGGAATTTTCTCTCTCACATAAAGCGATCTGAATAGGAAGCAAGCATATCATTATGATTAAAAGTCATCTTTTTTCCATGCAAATGCCCTGTTCTGCTCCATTTGTGCTCCACTGATCATAGGAAGTGAATGTGATGTAATAATGCTGTACCATGTTATGTATGGGTACAGGGTTTTTTACATCCAAAACCAAAAAGTCCAAACCAACTCCCAACAAGCTGATTTTGACTCGTATTAAACCTGGAGGACAGAACTGTCCACAGGGTTAGCACCAAAATACTTGGACCATGGCACTAATGATGTTGTTAAGTGCCATCGAGTCGTAGGTGACTCAGCAACCCTATGAACAAAAATCCTGGACACCTGTATAACTTTTGTCCTTTCTCCAGGTTCATAGGGTTTCCAGAGTGGATGCTTCTCCTGCTTCCAAGCTTGTTTTAATTGGGGAGCTCCACCAAACACTGTCCGCCATGGGTAACTCAAGAGCAATGTGCAGTAGAGGGGAATAATCTCAGGATGGCCAGGTCAAAGTCACAGAGTGTGAGGATCATAATCATCCGGGATGAGGCATGTTCTGAGAAAGAGCAGGCAACCCACTCCACTGACGAGAGAAGACACAAAAAAGATGCCGGCTGCCTGTCCTCTTAATTCCATGCTTCTGACCACAGCAGTTATGTTCAAAGAAGGAATTACAATTATAAATAAAATACTTCTACCTAATGTTCATCAAAAGATCTAATCCCAATGACAACTCAAAAATGCAAAAAGGAATTTTTAAAAAGGCTTAATAGGTTCAAATTACTACTAGGACTCCTTTTTTTTACATATATAGTTCAGTAATTGTTCAAAATGAAATTAAGCCTAACATTCAATATGTGAGACAAGGTCATGGAAACATGTATTTATGGAAGCTCTAAGTGAAGACGTTTAGGGTTAGGTTTAAGGTTTTTCCCACCAAACTGATAATTATTATCTTTGAGACACTGGTGCTTCCTGAGACAGGTCACTTGCTTCCAATGAGTTGCCTGGCTCTCTGGCTGCTTTCCTAACTTAAGGTAGCCCCAGTCTCCTCCTAATGTGGAAGATCAGGATATTCCAAGAAATTCTTACCACTATCACATCATTGCCTGTTTCCTTCCCAAAGATATCCTCCATGAGAATCGACCATTTTGTTTTGGATGGAATTTTCCAATCTGAAATAAAAATTAGAAAACATCAACTTTCTTGGAAAAACAAAACACTGGGATGAGGATGATGGGTAGATTTTACTTTTTTTTCCCCTCCTCTGCCCCTTCTTCTTCATTGCCTAGTCTGCTGATTTACAGCCTCCTAGAAACATTGGTGGAGGGTTGCCTATGAGTCAGTTCTGACTAATAGCAAAGAAATTTTAGTGAACGATAAACAAGACAATGAATAAAGGACACCAAAGAAGAACTGATGCCTCTGAATTAAGAGTGCTGATGAATACTGAGTATACTATGGACTACCAGGAGAATGAACAAATCTAGTCTTAGAAGAAGTACAGCAGAAGCAGAACACTCACTATAAGCAAGGATGGTGAGAATTTGACTCACATATTCTGGACAAATTATCAGGAGTGAACAATTCAAAGAGGTCGATATCATTCTTGGAAAAGTAAAGAGGGCCAACAGAGCCAGCAAAAACAAGAGGGTGACTCTCAATAAGGTGGACTGAAACAGCAGCTGCAACGTGGGTTCAAACATAGCAACGGTTATGAGGATGGTCTAGGACCAGAAGCGTTCCATGTTGTACAAAGGTTCACCATAAATGAAAACACATTTATTAGCACCTAACAAAAAAGGCATGCCATTCGAATCTACCAGCTGCTCCACTGGGAGAAAGATGGGTAGCCACCTCCAATGCAATTTGTTGCTGTTGTTGTTCAATGTCATCAACTTAAGTATGACCCACAGTGACCTGATAAGCAATCGATTCAAACTTTTTCCAATCCTGTATCATCTCATTATTAATCTCTGCCATTTATGAGTCTACTGCTGCAGGCACCGTGTCAATCCACCTAGCTGAGGTCTTTCTATCTTTCTTTGTCCCTCCACCTTTCCAAGCATGACGTCCCTATCCCAGGAATAGCCTCTCTTAGCAACATGCCTAATGTGTGGAAAACAAAGCTTTGTTATCTTTGTCTCCAAGGATCATTCTAGCTGCACTTTCCCCAAGACATATCCCATTTTTTTCTTTAGGCAGCTCATGGGATTCCCAGTACTCTTCTCCAAAAGCTCAAAGGCATCAATTCTTCTGTCACTCTTATGTACTGTCCAGCTTAAAGAGTACAGAAAGTGACTGAAAAGGTTATGGACTGAATCAGATGCACTTTAGTCTTCAAACTGATGTAACTATTCCTCAGTAACTTGGAGAGGTCCCTGACAGCAAATTTGCCTGATGCAGTATGTGTCCTGGTCTCTTGACTGCTGCCACCAAGGATGCTGACCATGGATCCACTAAGACAAAGTTGTTGAGCGTTTCAATCTTTTCTCCACCTAACATGGTGTTACTTACCAGTTCAGGGGTGAGGATTTTTGCCTTCATGATATTAAGATGCAATCCATATTGAAGGCTGCATTCTTTGATCTTTTACAGAAAGCACTTCAAGTTCTCCTCACTTAAAGCAAGCAAGGGTGTGTCATCTACAATAACAGGCTTTTGATGAGTCTTCCTCTGGTCCTGATGTCATACTCTTCTTCAAAGAGTCTAGTTTTTCAAAAGATTTGCTCCGTATACAGATTGAATAGGTATGGAGAGAGAATACAACCCTGATGCACCATTTCTTACTTTTAAACTATATAGTGTTCCCTTGCTTTGTTCACACAACAGTCCCTTGGTCGAAACATAGACTTTACATGAGCACAATTAAGTGTTTTGGGATTCCCATTCTTCTAAATTTTAGCAAATAATTTATTATCATTCACAGTCAAATGCTTTGCATAGTTGATAAAGCACAGACAGACATTCTTCTGGTATTGTTTACTTTCAGCCAGGATCCACAAGACATCAGCAGTGACATCTGTGGTGCCATGGCTTCTTCTAAACTCAACATGAACTTCTGGCAGTTCTCTATTTACTGTTCTAGCCATTTTTGAATGATCTTCTGCAATATTTTGTTTGAATGTAATATTAATGATACTGTTGATAATCTCCACATTCTGTTGGATAACCTTTCTTAGGAATGGGAATGAACATAGATCTCTTCTGGTCAGTCAGCCAAGCAACTGTCCTCCAAATTTCCCTGCAAACATGGGTGAGCGTGTTCAGGGTTGCAAACATGTCAGCTGGTATCCTCTCAATTCCTTGTGCCTTATTTTTTTGCCAATGCCATCAATGTAACTTGAACTTCTACATTACCAGTGGTTCTTGATCATCTAATTCTTTTGGAATATTTCAGTGTCAGCCAAATCTTTCTGCTATAGTGATTTTGCATATTCCTCTATCTTTTGATGCTTCCTGGATCACTCAGATGTGTGTCCTTTGCATCTCTCAGTATTGTAACTTGAGGCTTAAATTTGGTTTTCAGTTTTTTCAGCTTGAGAAATGCCAAGCAAGTCCTTCTCCTCTTAACCTCCAATTCCAGTTCTCCCATTATATTTTGTCTTCTAGAGCTGCCCTTTGAAATCTTCTATTCAGCTCTTTCACTTCAGCGTCTCTTCCCCGTTTTGGCTAATCAATACTCTAATGCAATTTTTAGGGTCTCTTTTAATATTCATTTTGTTTTTTGCTTTCTCCTTTGTCTCTGTATGAACTGCTCTCTTCACAGATGATATCCCTAATGTCATTTCACAAGTTGTCTCGTCTTCTATTATTGATGGTCAATGTTTCAAATGTATTCTTAAGATAAATTTTAAATCCAGGTGGGATAAACTTAAAATCATATTTTGGTTCTTGGAGACTTGTTTTAAATATTTTTCAGCTTCGAATAAACTTGTATCTGAGCACCTGATGTCTCTGTTTATCGCCAGCACCTGGTCTGATTCTGACTACTGATTTTCACTGTTCAATAGAGGGTGAGCTATGAGTCATTTTCGACTCCAAGATAACAACATACACAACAACATACAATGTACATAACAACAACAGCAAAAGAAAAAAAACCACTAAATGTGGAAAAGCAATGTGAAAGGGAAATAAGCAAATAAATATTCAAAAATGACTTCTGATGAGTTTGGCTATATGAGATTTAAACTTACTGCCATCGAGCTGATCAGAAATCACAGTGATCCTAAAGTTCAGACAGAGAACTGCTCTCTAGGGTTTCCAAGGCTGCAACCTTTAAGGGAGCCCTAGTGGTGCAGTGTGAAATATAGACTATTAAACAAAAGATTGGCAGTTTGAAATACCAGCTGCTCTGGGGGTGAAAGATGGGCAGTCTCCTCTTGCAAAAGTCTGCAGCTTCAGAAACACAATTGAGGGTCACTATGAAACAGAACTGCCTTGACGGAAGTGGGCTATTCTTTTTAAGTACAGATAACCAGATCCTCTCTCCATCTGAGCTGCAGGTAGGTTTAAAGTACAGATGGATGGGTTAACAGGCGAGTGTTTTGATCAAATAAAACCCAACTCTCTGCCACTGAGTTGAATCCAACTCATAGCGACCCTCCCTCGGGCTTCTAAAGCTGTAAATCTTTAAAAGGAGGAGACGGTGTAGCAGCTGGTGGATTTTAACTGCTGGCCTTTTAGTTAGTAACCTGATGGTAAGTAGAACCAACACATTACAAAATATAGCACTAGGACTCCTTGTGTAACCACAGGAGTAGAAATTTAATTCAAGTCACTGGGAAATCATTCTTCAGGATTGACAATGGTATCAAAAGACAGTACCAACAGAAATGGTGTCTAAGAAAGAATGAATAAAAACATAGGACTTACAGACTAAGAGACAATTAGCCCAGAATATCTGTGATAACATGCTTGGACAGCAAAAGTAAGCAGTATTTTAAAACTTCCCAGTTGATACTCCTTAAACTGCCTTGCTATGATCACTGAAAACGATCAATTCCCGAACGTACATGCCCATTTGCCTGGTGCTCACCTGGACAGGTGCCATGGTGTGCTCTCCTTTGCTCTGTCCTCAGTTCCTCTTCTTGCTCCAAGTGGGAGATGAGGCTGGGCTTGCCAAGCTGATATCCTATTCATGGGGGAAAGGCACACGATGAGGGAGAACTGAGCAGAGGATACGCCCTTCCATTACCCTACAGTCAACGCGTGTTTAATAATGATGAACAACTCTGATTTAGCAGTAAAACAGTGTGCCAAATTTCTTTTAAAAAACACAGTAAAGATATTAAAAAAAAAAATACAAGGGAAATCTGGTGGCCTCCTGGCACGAAGCTGCACTGCAATCCCAGAGGTGAGTGGTTCAAATCCACCTCATGCTCTGCCGGAGAAGGACTGACAATCTCCTCCTGGACCAGTCAGATCCGATTTGACGATACATGCATAAAATATAATAAATTTTCTTTTAAAAACCCCAAAACAAAAGTTCTATACATTCAGTTCTAAGGGCGGGGAAGAGGTTTTGTATTTCAGAAACCCATGCTCAAGCTCAAACACACACATGAGGATTTTCAAAGTGCCATGTGATGGAAAGGACTCAAGAACCCTGGGGAGACCATCCTGAGGGCAAGGGCCTGTTCTGTTTGTTCACCACTGTGTTCCAAATCCCAACAAAGGTCATAGAAAATACTGTAAGAAGTCACTGAAGTCACGAATGGATAAAGTGAAATGATGCTAGCCTTACCCACTGAAGTAAGGTTGCTATAGTTCTCCAGCATCACATCTTTATACAGTTTCCGCTGAGAGGAATCCAGCAAGGGCCACTCTTTCTCAGTAAAGTCCACAGCAACATCCTGGAAAGTCACTGACTCCTAAAACATGGTATACATTCTGAATCAGCGCGAATTAAGTCACAGTTCACAGCGAGAAATAAGTTCACAGTTTCCAGAGGCATGTTGTTCCTGCTTCCAAACTAGGCCACTAGAACATCTCAATTAGGCATCATTAAGCCTGGGTGAAGAACTAAAAGACATTCTAAATGTGCTGGAACAGAAGACTTCTAGAGTCTTGTCTACTCTTAAGGAGCCATAGACATTGGTTTACCTGAGAACCAGCGCTGGAGGCTGTTTGAGGCGCTAAGTCACTGCAAAGAAACAGGTCTTCACTCTGGCAACAGAAGTGGTCTTTCATAGAAAGAGGACATTCCAACTCCTGAAGACAAGCAGAGTCCTGGACGGAAATAGCTAGAGGAGAAAAGAAGATAGTTGAGAACCAAAACCTGTCCAGCATCAAAATACTGGCAAAGGAAACTGCTCCATACTAACCAGCAGTTTCCACACTCCCCAAAACACAGATGTACATGAATGAGTATTTACACACTGACACGCGCTGAACATTTCTTAAGATGCAATCAGAAGACCTTGCTCTGTTCACGGACAGAAAAAGTTCTGAGAAGTAGAACGGTCGCTTGCTCTTGTTTCTTCATAGTAAAAAATGGGGTAACGTCCAGTTATCTGCCATCTGCCCACTCTTTACGTACCAACTATACATAACTCCCTTCCTTCTCCAAATCCATTCTTCTTGTCTGGTGCTGTCAAGTCAACTACGATTCATAGAATAGGTCTGAACCCTGCCTATCCTGTACCATCCTCAGTCTCCAATATCACTGAGCCCATCACTACAGCCACTGTGTCAATCTACCTTGTTGCAGGTCTTCCTCGCTTTCACTGACCTTCTACTTTTCTCGGCAGGATGTCTTTTTCCAACAACTGGCCTCTCTTAACAACATGCCAAAAGTGTTAGAGATGAAGTTTCACCATCTGTGCCTCTAAGGAGCACCCTGGCTACATTTCTTCTAAGACTGACTCGTTTCTTCTTTTTGTAGTCCATGGGAAGTCCACGGGCTAGTCAATCCTCTTCTCCAGAACCACAATTTAAAGGCACCAATTCTTCTGTCATTCTTATTCACTGCCCAACTTTCAGATGCATATGAAGCAACTGAAAATACCATGGCTTGGATCACGTTCACCTTAGTCCTCAAGTGGACATCATGCTCTTTAGTACTTTCAGAGTGGACCCTGACTGCAGATTTTCCCAAGACAACACATCTTTTTATTTCTTGACTGCTGCTATCATAAGAGAGCAAGATTATGATGGCTGGGGGCCCATGAAACTCAAGAGAGGGAACAGAGACACTAAGTATGAGAGGTCCCAATGTTGCTGTTATCGTCTTCACTGTGGTGTCTGCAGTCCCCAAAGGGTCCAAAGGGAACATTTCCTTTCCATAGACCAGATCCAGCAGCCTGGCTCCCTCTCCCACTCCTGGATGCCCTTCCAAGGTTACAAACGCAGATGATCTACAAGACTAGGTCTAAGTAAAATGAAACTGACAACTTCAATTTTTCTCTTCCACCTATCATTTTATTGCATACTGGTCCAGTGGTGAGGATTTTCTTTCTTGATGTTCATATGTAATCCATACTAGAGCTCAAATCCATAAAGCCCTCAAAGTGGGAAAACCACCCAGGAGCTCCTGCAGCTTTGCTCATACCCTTCTTTACAGTCTATCCACCCACTCCAGGAAGCTCTCTCTCTCTGGCTGCACATCCCTGTTAGCCCAGGGATGCCTCTGTACAATAGAGGTTTGCATAAACTCAATTTCTGATATATTCAAGAACTTACCTACAGTGGGAGACAGACTGGGTGCAGCCATCCTGTGACAGGGATGAGAATTCTACTCCTCAGTGAGGCTGCAGGACAATCAGGAAGCTCCTCCTTTTCTTCTCAGTCCTCTCCAGACAGGCATCTATAATAAATGGGAAGAAAAGTAACCCAAAAAGCCCACTGCTGTTGAGCTGATTCCAACTTACAGTGACCCTGGAGGACTGGGCAGAACTGCTCCAGAGGTTTCCAAAACTGTACTCTTCATGGAAACAAACTGTCTAATCTTTTTCCCCACATAAAGTCAAAGGCTTTCCATCTCTCTGCTTAGCAATATGGTTTTTGTTTTTTAATTTTATTCGTTTTAATGAACACAGAGATTTTGGATATCCACTCATTCATTGTTGCACTTCTCCCCCTGCCCCCCGCCCCCCAGTTCACTCTTCTCTTTGAAAAGTAAAATGTCTTTTTCAGCATCTTATTTTATGAGCAGCAAGTCTCTAACCAGAGACTTTTATCTTACCCAAGTCAAACCTCCAGGGAGTACAGTAACGGTCTCCAGCCCACCTAAACTAAGATTCACTCTTTTCTTAAAAAATTTTTTTTATTATATTTTGTGTGTGTACCGTCAAATCGGATCTGATTAGTACAGAAGGAGATTGTCCCTCCCTCTCCAAAAGAGCATCTGGTGGATTCGAACTGCATACCTCTGGGATAGAAGTGCAGCTTCTTGCCACTAGGCCACCAGAGCTCCCGTAAGATTAACTATTACCAAGTAATTTGTCATTAAATTAGTAATGTTCAACTATTTTTTTTTTTTATGTTCAATTCTACTATTCATTAAAGATTTTGGTCTAGACTTGTGTTCTTAATCCCTGCCATCCCTCAGGATGCTTCCAATACCCATGGGGAGCTTACCAGGTCCAATAACTCTGCCCCTACACTATACACAAAGCACACATCCTTGGTCACAGCTAACTGTGTCATTACAGGAATTACTTTACTTTCCAGATAATGGTTCAGAAATCTGGTCTCTGGAAATATTTGTATATAGCCTTCTTCTCACATTAACTCCTCTACTGGAGAGGATTCCAGTCCACTCATACTTCTGTTATCTTACCCCTCAATATCCACCACCTCTTCCATTACTCCACTTAGTCCGCTGAGACTTATCATGGTTTTCAAGAACTTATTCAGATTAAAGAAACAGCCTTGGATAATTCCAACCTCCTACCTTTTCCCTGAATCCACTTGGGAAGAAGAGTCATTCATTTGGCATCCTAAAAAACTCAAAGTCATTGACCCTAAAGAAAAACATACTAGACAATCTAATCTGTCAGTGTGTCTAAACTAACGTGAAAATCTTGCTAGTCCTTCTACACTGAAAACAGAATTGTTTTGCATCCAGCAATTTTGCATTACATTCCCCAGAAATTCTGATTTTTAAAAGGCTTGACTCATACTAAGAATGTGAAAGTAGAATTTTAAAAATAACAGAAAGATGAGAATATGATATGGATACGCACATCATAAAATCTAACAAAATAGCCAAAAAATATAGAAATAGTGATCAATTTCACTAAATTCTGGGAAACTGTAAAATTAAACAACAATGTCATACCAATGCATTGACTAATCAAATTCATTGAAAATTCCATATTCTATTGATGTGAACAAATATGGATCTCTTCCAATCAGTTGGCAAGATAACAATTTTTCAGCTTTCTCGGTACAACCTGGTGACATCAAGGCTGCATCTGTTTACTGGAACATGTCAATTGATACTGCATGAATTTCTGAGGCCAAATTTTTTTGCCAATGCCTTCAGTGAAGTTTGAAAATCACCGCTTATCCTCAATGGTTCTTGATCATACTCTTCTGAAATGGTTCCATGCCAGCCAATTCTTTTTGGTACTGTGACTGAATATTCCCTCTATCGTCTTTTGATGGACCATTCAATATTTTGCTCATAGTATTTTCTAGTATTTCAACTCAAGGCTTGAATTTTTTGTTCACTTCCTTCAGCTTAAGAAATGCAAAGCAAATTCTTCCCTTTTTATTTTCTGCCGCCGCCATATCTTTACGTAGTTCATTGTAATATTTTGCTTCGTCTTCTCAAGTTGCCCTTTCAAATTCTGTGCAATTCTTTTACTTAGCCACTTCCCCCCTTTATTTTGCCTTCTCAATGTTCTAGTGCAATTTTCAGAGTTTCTTTTGACATCAGTTTTGGTCTTTTCTTTCTCTCGTCTTTGTAAAGACCTTTCACATTCTTCATAGATAACATCCTTTATGTTGTCCTACAGCAAGGGGAAAACAGTTCTTGGAAAGGGACGTCATGCTTGGGATGATGGAGGGACAATGCAAGATAGGAAAACCCTCGGTGAGATGGACTGATTCAGTGACTGGGGATATGGGGGTAGGTGTGTCAGAGACAATCAGATTGGCACAGGACAGAGGAGGGTTTAGGGCTGTTGTACACAGACAGAGTCCCTGTAAGTTGCAGGGAACTCGATGGCACATATCAATAGCAGCTCATCAGGATTTCTATTATTAGTTGTTCAATGACTGAACCTATTCTTGAGAGGTTTTTAAATTCAGGTGAGAGAGACTCAAGGTCTTATTTTGGTTCTTGTGGACCTGTTTTAATTTTTTTCAGCATCAGCCTGAACTTGCACACAAGTAATTGATGACAGTCAGTACATTAATATCACATGCATGTGAAATCTTGCTGAAGATTCTTTTTAAAAGGCTGGAACAGTACATAAATAGAGAACTGCCAGAAATTCAAGCTAAATTTAGAAATGGCTAAAATACAAGGGATATCACTACTAGTATCAGATGGTTCTTGGCTAAAAGCAGAAAAGATGTCTGTATTTTAGTCATCCTGCAAAAGCATTTCCTGTGCAGATCACACAAATGATGGCTGATATTGAGAAGAATGGAAATCACAGTGCATTTAATTATACACACACAGAAACTTGTACCTAAAGTCAAAGGTGTGCGTCAGGGAGGTATCCTCTCTCCATACTTATTAAATCTGTACACACAGAGCAAATCATTTGAGAAGCTGGACTGTATGAAGAATGTGGCATTAGGGTTGAAGACTGATCAAAAACCTGCATTTTGCAGATGATACAACCTTGCTTGCTGAGAGTGAGGACTTGAAGCACCTAATAGAGAAGTTCAGAAACAATTGCCTTCAATATGGATTACATCTCAGAGTCAACAAAGCACAAATCCTCATCACTGTGGCAACAGGCAGCATCGTGCAATGCCTTCATCTTGCTTGGATCTACACTCAACACCCTTTGCACCAGCAGTTCAATCAGGAGAGATAATGCATTGAGCAAGTCTGCTGTCAGTGACCTCTTCAAAGCGCTAAAGAGCAATGACGTCACTTTAAAGAGTAATGTGCACTTTCGCCAACTCATTATCCTTTCTCTTATTTGCTATGCATCCAAAACCCAGACAACTGACTAAGGATAAAAGATCTGATACATTTTAACTGTGGTGTTGGAAAAGAGTACTGAATATCTCATGGACTGCCAAAAGAAGAAACAAGTCTGGCTTCGATAAAGTGTGACCAGGGTGCTCCATGAATTTGTCTTCAATACTTGGGGAATGTTGCTAGGAGGGGACAGTCCTTGGAGAAGGATATCATATGTGGAAAGGCAGGGGGTCAATGTAAGAGAGGAAGTCCCTCGATAAGATGAATTGTCACCGTGTCTAACAATACGCTCAAGGATGGTCAAGACAGACTAAGCTTCAGGTCTACTGTTCACAGGGCTACTATGGGTCACAGCTGACTTGATGGCATCTAACAACACAAGTCAAAATTCAGAGCTCTGGTGGCTTAGTGGGAAAACACTGTGCTGCCAACCCAACAGCACGCTGTTCAAATCCACCAGCTGCTCCAAGAAGAACGATGCACAATCCTCTGGCTCTAAAAATCAACTGGAGGGTCAGCTATGAGTCAGTTCTGACTGGAGGGTACAAATAAAAGCAACAACATTGAAAATTCAAAGTCATAGCCCTGAGCCAAAACCGAATCATAGCTAATCCTCCAGCGGGTTTCTGATGCTTTAAATCGCACAGGAAGTGACTGCTCATCTTTCTCCTGTGGAGCTGCTGGTAGATTACAAACACCAGGGAGGTTCCAACCTTTGGGTTAGGAATGCAACTCTCTACAGATTATACTACAAGGGCGCTCTACGCACATTCACTAGAAAAGATAATAAGGGTGACACTGTGTTTGTGATGATGCCTGCACTGTAACTCTCACATACCTCTGCTGGGTGTCCAACCACTTCAGGCAACTGTTTGTCAATATCTACTAAGGCCAAGCTCACTCTAAGCCTATCACCTAGCTCCTAAAGGTACACCCCAGGAGAATGCTAACAAATTTGTAGCAAAAGACCTAAGTAACAAAATGAGCACAACAGCAATACTCAGTAACACAAAATGCAAACAGCCTAAATATTCACGAAGAGTAGAATGTGTAAGTTATATGATGCTTATGCATATAATGAAACACTACACTGGCAGAACAGCTCCTTACCACTGGGCCACCAGACATGAGGACGAATTTTCCACTATTGCACCTGTTCCAGGCCATGTTGTTGTTATGTGTCATCAAGTCGCCTGAGACTCAAAGCAACTGTATGTACAATAACCCTAAACCCTACTCTATCCTGTGCCAATCGCACTGTCTCTGACACACCTACCCCCATTACCCCAGTCACTGAATCAATCCACCTCATTGAGGGTCTGCCTCTCCTGCGCTGTCCCTCCACCCTCCAAGGCATGCTGTCCCTCTCCAAGGACTGGTCCCTCCTTGCAACATGTCCAAAGTATGTCAGATGAAGCTTCAGAATCCTTGCCTCCAAGGAGCAGCCTAGTTTACCCTCTCCAGGACGAACCTGTTCGTTCTCTTAGCAGTCCACGGTATATTCAATACTCTTCCCCAGCACCAAAGCTCAAAGACATCAATTCTTCTTCTATCCTCTGTAGTCATTGTACAGCTTTCTGATGCATAGCAAGTGATTGCAAAGA